GCTTGCTGCTCATCTATGCAAGTAAGTACTTGCATATTTGCCTGCGCGTGCTGATGCGTATTGAAACGGATACGTGGCAAGCGGAACTTCACAAAAGTTCCGGCAGTTCCCTCCAGCCTGTATGCTAGCCACGCGGCGTGCAAGGACACAATTGCATAACCAACATCGTAGTTTGATTCCGTCGGGCTGCCCCACACCAATGTCTACCATGGGAAATGCGCGCAAGGAACGCTACGCCCTTTGTCTGCTGCTACTGCAACAGCAACAGGCACAGCTGCAGTGGCCAGCAGGGCGCACTGCTGTGCAGCGCTCATAGGGGCCTCTCCTGATGCCTCAGTTTGCAAACAGCAAATCAAGAAACCATCTTGGTGCAAGAAGCCAGCTTGGTGCTGCTGCAATTGCTGCAGCTGCTTCAAAATAGCCGCGCACACAGAAGCGGCAGCAAGTTCTGCTACTGCTGTTACTTCTTATAAGCAGCAGCACCGCCTGCTGCTATGAATCACAGAAGACTCTGCTGAGCTCGTCGGCAGCAGCGGCAACTGGTACTACTTGTTGCAGCCTGAATCTGCTGCTCATTAAGGCAAATTCAAGGCGCGGCAAGCAGCACGGAAGGCTACAGCGAGCTGCAATGATTGCAACAAAAGCTGCAGCGAGCTGCAAGCAACGGCAACTGCGGCAGATGCTGCATTAGGCTAAAGCTTACAGCCAGCTCCGCTTCCTTGAAGGCAAGGGGGGTGGGGCTGCAGGTACATTTGGTCGATGATGTCTTCGTACATTTTCGTTACAACTTTCCTGCGTAGTTTTAAAGTGGCAGTCAGCTCACCGCCAGCGACTGAGAAGTCCACCGGCAGTACCCGCCAAGCGAGCACTCGCTGTGCCCTGCAGCAGCAGCAGCAGAGCAGATGCATCAGCAGCAAGAGATGCAGCAGCAGCAGCAGAAGAGATGCTGCAGCAGCTGCGGTTGACGTGATTCGCAAGACGGGTTGGGAGATAGTGTCAGCGGGCACAGCCTGCGCGTTACCAGGCCGGCTCTAGAAGCTGAAGTGATAAATAAAATGTATGCGTTAAGCTAAGTAACAGCAGATGGCAGTCAACGAGAAGGCGCAAGGCGTCTGGCAGCAGCAACAGCAACAGCAGCGGCCTAGGCTCACCTAGAAACTGCACGTTTGTTGGCCCTCTCGAGCCCCTGTAAGACGAGTTTGTTGACTACGGGGTCTTCTGCTGCTTGGGCAGTCGTTTTGCTGGTGCTGCCCAGTGGCTCTATGACTCGCAGCACCTCTTCGGCGAGGACTTCCGTGGGGGCGTCATCCTTGTCTTTTTCTGTGTGCAGGCAGATAAGCACCGACAGGAACTTCTTGCGGTCGCCCACCACCATACAGTTGGAGACGAAGGGCAGTTCCTGTCTTATAGTGCTCTCTATGAGGACGGGAGCAACATTTTCCCCGCCTGCTGTGATCAGCAGCTCCTTGGCCCTGCCAGTGATGAAGATGAATCCGTCTTTGTCGACTCGACCCAAGTCGCCAGAATGCAAGAAACCCTGCGGATCCACGGCCTCCATGGTAGCCTTATCGTCTCCCAAATAGCCCATAAATATGTTTCGTCCGCGAAAGCATATTTCCCCCTCGCCTTCACTATTTGGGTTCAGAATCAGGGTGTCTGTGCCGGGAAGCGAATGGCCTATGCTGCCCACTTTGAACCTGCAGCGCAGCACGACCAACAGCAGCACAGCAGCACAATAAGATAAAAGACGCTGATAAATACACAACAACCAGGAACAGCAGATTAGGCGCATGCTTCCGAATATGAATGCTCACACACGGATGTGTATCATGCGCGCAACTGTGTATTTAGTCGCTAAAGCAAAAAATACATAGAGGTCAGAACGCGAAAAAAAGAAAAAGTGTCTGCCCAAGTAAAAGGCTGAGACGGGACAAAAGCACGTAAAAGGAAAAACCGAAATACGGCGAAGAGAAGCGGACGGTGGAGAGGTTCAACGCGAGACAAGATAGGCTCCAGATAAAGACAAACAGAACAATATTCCACAAGAAAGAATCCGCAAGTCAAGCACAAGAGTGGCAAGACCCTCCTCCAGTGGGCAATATCTATTCTGCCGTGGAGCTGACCATCCGGGGGAAGGCGCAATGAATGTTTGGGGGCCCGTGCTTTCGCTGAGCCCGTAGAGGGAGTTGATGGGCATGCCGAGAGAAAGGAAGTACTTTTGCGTCTCGGGGTCAATGGGGGCTGCGCAGCTGCCCCAGGCGTTGCACTTGTCGAAGCCGAGAGCCTTGCGCACCTGGTGCAGCACGAGCTTGTTGACAGGAGTGAAAGCCCAGGGGGCCCGCCGGCCCTCGAGAAGCGCGCAGGCTCCCTCATATCCGATTTCTTTGGCTGCAGTGGAGAGGCGGCGGCGCCAGTGGCTGCCCCTGGCCCCGAATTCCTTGAGCTTCTGCTCAATCTTTTCCCAAATCCGGGGAACTCCCAGAAACCAGGTGGGCCGCACCTTCAGCAGCGTGTACAGCAGCGTGCCCCGCAGCACGTCGGGGCGCGCGAAATAAACCGAAGTGCCCATGATCAGGGGCGCCACGAGGTCCACTATTTGGGCCGCCACGTGAGACAGAGGCAGCAGCGAAACGATGCGGTCTTGGGGGCTGAGCGAGACGATCTGGGCCATGAGGCTGGCGGTCCAGGTCAAGTTGTCGTGAGAGAGCATCACCCCCTTGGGAGGGCCAGTGGTCCCGCTGGTGTACACGATGCAGCAGCAGGCTCCCGGCTTCTGCCGCTCCATCCGCGCAGAAAGTGCACTTTCTTTCACAGCTCGGCCCGAAGCAAGAAAATCGTCGAAAGAAACGACAAGCCCGTCGCTCGCGAGGCTGGCGGGGATGCGGTCGCGGTACACCACGATCTGCTGCAGCACGCGGCTGCCCCCCGGCAGCAGCGGCGTCGCCTCCTGCCCCTGCTGCTGCTGCTGCTGCAGCTGGTGCTCCCTGACCGCCAGCATCTTGTGCGCGTTCTCGAGCGAGTCGACCACGGCGATGAAGCACTGCGAGTGCTCGATCACGTATTTGCATGCATCTTCATTGTTAGTGGTGTAAACGCCGACAGAAATCCCGCCAGATATGATAGTTCCGTAGAAAGAAATGGCCCAGGCCGGGGAGTTGCAGCCCATTATGGCCACGCGGCACAGCCGGGGGGCCCCCAGGTGCAGTAGCGCCTTTGCAAAGAAACACGCGTCAGTCCAGTACCCGAACCAAGAGTAGCCGCACCACCCCGGCAGCAAATTAGGAACGTATGAGGGAGGGGAAGCAGCGAGCGGGGTGCTGCTCCCCTTAGGAAAGCAGACGCACTGGGTGCCTCCGTCATCGCCGTTTGCAGCAGGCGGCACTGCTGCAGCTGCTGCAGACCCGTTCCCGCTGCTGCTGCTCCCGTTCCCACTGCTGCTGCTGCTGCTGCTGCTGCTGCTCGAGCACGGGTAGTGCGGCTCAAACAGCAGCGCCGGCTCGGAACCAAAGCGACGCACGCAGTCCGCGAAGAACTCCACCACTGTCTGAGCAGGGATGGCGGCCGGACCGCTGCAGCAGCAGAACGTAATAAGAAAGGATGAAATAATAAATAATTAACAAATAATCTTCTTTCCAAAGAAACAGACTAACAAACAAGTGGGGAAAGTGAAAGGCAAGGAACACGCAGAAACAACTCAAGCAGGCAGCATCACGCGAGGGCCAAAAAAGGCATTCGTTAGCTCTGCTAAAACTGGTAGCAGCAAAGTGCTGCTAGCTCTGCTGCTCCTCCTCCTGCCTATGCTGCTGCATATCAAGCAAATGCTGCTGCTGATGCCGTAGCTGCTGCAGCTCGTGGTGCTGGTGCTGCTGCAAGCTACAGCTGCTGCTTTTGCAAGCGGCACGTTTTGTGCGGCCACAAGAAAGTGCAGCGCATAAATAAGCACTGGCATGGGGTGCAGCAGCAGAAGCATTAGCCGTTGCTGCTGCTGCTGCGTGTCTTGCTGTTGCTGCTGAATTAAAAGGGGGGCTAACCTTTCTGCTACCTTGACGGGAAGCTCGACATCTACGTCTGTGGTCCATACTAGATCTTTGCCTGCTTTGATCTTTTCCTTCAGCTCTGTAGACAAGGGCTCAACGTGCAGAGGGCGGCCGACCCCCAGCTGCTGCTGCTGCTGCTGCAGCGCAGCGTCTCTGTTGCGTAAGACCTGGTTGATAGACACCTGAATGTTGGTGGCCGTCGAAAAGTCCTTGCTCTCGTGAGGCTGAATGTATCTCCCTGGCACGGGCAGGGTGAGGCAGTCAATGGTAACGCCACTCATTGTCTGAGGGCTGTGGCGGCGCAGCTGCTGCGTTGAGGCAACTTGCTGATATCTGAGTCCACCCTGCCGACAGGCGGACGGGTTTGGCCTCAAGGAGAAGCCAGAGGGGTCCGCGCAGACAGGGACCTCCCACGGCGGAGTGGAGGCGAGGGGCGCTGCTGCTGCTGCGGCTATCGCTGCCGGTGTGTGGCTGCTGCTGCCGCTCTGCGGGACTTCCTAGGGTTAAACTCGTGAATGAGGCGCAGCAAAGGCACCTTTGCCACGCCGGACCTTTGGCAAAGAGAATGAAGGATCTGCTGACGGACACTGCGTTGGAAGGCAGTAACAATAGATGGCCTCGGGATCCCCTGCAGTGGTGCTCATACACCTAAGGAAAGAAAAAAGAGGGAATAAAAGGGGGCTTTTAAGTCTATTGCTCCTGCCCGCCTGTTGTTTTCCGTGGAATTGTGCAGGGAGACGAAAGGCAGCCCAGGACCGACCGTCCTGATGCTGAAACACTACCGGCTAACTGCTCTCGGTGGTGGGGACCAACCATTGAGCTGTGAATGTCAGTTTCTGCTAAATGTCTAGTGTTTTAGTAAATATAAATTAATTCAAGTCGAACGCAACGAAGACGCGACCAACTATGTGCCTATGCATAGCCTTGATTTCCAGAGCTGCAAATTGGCAGCGCCCTGAGCAGCAGGCAAATGACGCCTTGCCGAAATAGTTCAATCTCAGGTGTCTGACATTTAAATCATTAAATAATGAGCTCCTCATTCACTTTCCACCAACCTACTTGACAGAAGAGCACAGGACACACGTTCCACTGTGTGTGTAAGTAGGTGCAATTTAAACGTGCACGGCGCTCGTCCAGTGCGAACAGATTTAACGTTGTTCAGGAGGGCCTGAAACGAAAGGGGAAATCCTGAATTCAAAATAACTGTCGAAACTGCACAACTTCCTGGTGTTTTTCCCCTTATAAAACAAAGCTCAGCGCTTGGAAGATACATAAAAGCGCTATGTTCGAAAGCCTGGTCCCAACCGGTCTCGAACCGGCGACCTTTCGGTTATTAGCCGAATGCTCTAACCAACTGAGCTATAGGACCTGGAGCGACCTCTTCTTCTCCCAGCTGTCTTCGCCGGGAAAACAAAAAAACAACAAAACCCCTGACCTCCAATGTTTCCCTAGCCTCGCCAATGCTAGATCAGGGAGAGCAGAGGAGGTAGAAGTATACAGCGGGACACAGCCCATGCAAATGATGGTCCTTTCTGGTGTCTCTGTACTTAAAATATATTCGTTCCTGTGGAATGCGCTGTACGTTTGCCGTCTGCACGATCGGTCGTGCACACTGGCGTCAATTAATTACGCACATTCCAATGTTGATGAGCACTGGACGGGTACTTGCCCGCCCCCAGCTCCGCTGCCAGGGTCTACAGATTCAGTGAGCTTTTTTGCTGTATGACTGACTGCTGGTGTCGCTGCGATTGCTGCTGCTGCTTGTGCTGCTGCTGCGAATGTTGCTGCTGCTTCTTGCTCCGGGCACCGCACCTCCTCCTAGTGCAAATACAGCACCATAGATGGCCCAGGGAAAGTTCATCTACAGAAAAAATGCTTCTGGAGGGCAGATGAAGCCTTGGGAGATGAGACTGCTTCCATCCCACCAATATTTTCTGCGCTCTTTGTGCCTGCTCTTCTTTGTGGCAGCAGTTGCTTCAGCGGCAGCAGCGACTGGTGCCGCTGCCGCTGCAGTAGCAGCCCCTGCGGCTGCGCAGTCTGCTGTTCGTTGCTTTGTGCTGCTGCTGCTGCAGTTCGCACTAGCACAGCAAGAACTGGCGACGTTGCTGCCAAAGGCGAGCGGCCGCTGCAACCACAAAGGGGCCAGCAGCAGCGAGCCCAAAGTTCCCGCTGCTAAGTTTACCCTCTCCAGCACGGCGAGCGCCTGTGGCTGTCTGCAGAGGTAAACAAACCAAAAATCAATTGCTCTGGAAATCTCCGACTGCCTTCCCTTCAGACTCCAGCAACTGAGGGCCTGCTTGCCCGAAGAAAGACACAACGCAGACATGCGAACTGCCGCCTGATACTCCACCTGCCTCTTGCTTTTCATTGAGTCCTCTTGCTCCCTGGCCTTGCTGCTCCCGCTGCTGCTGGCGGGGTCGCTGCTGCTGCTTGCAGCAGAGGCGCCCGCAGCAGCAGCGCGAGCCGCCACACCGGCCCTTTGCTCTCCCCCTAAAGCGTCCTCTAGAGGTGAGTCCAATGGCCATTCTTCGGGAGGGCAGACTGGAGCTTCATCTTCCATTCTGGGTCCTTCGGAAGTGGCGGTGGCAGTGGCTGCTTCTTTGCGCGCTGCTGCTGCAGCAGCAGCTCGCGCCTTGGCCTTCAAGTTCATGGGCAGCGGCTCCTCGCCGTCGTCGTCAAAGAGGAGAAAACGACTGTGCTCTCTCTTCTTCTCTCTGCGCCCAGCCGCCATGGTGGACTGGGCACAGGGGCAGCACCACTGGTCATCTCGCGTGAGCTCCTGGCGGGTCCAGTGGGCCGCTGTGTCCCCTATCAACTCCAGCCTCTTGTGCGGAGGCGCGTCTCGAGAAGAACGCAGCCGCCGCAGCTCCGGCCCGTTCTGTGTCTTGCTGCGGTGCTGCACCTCCAGCAGCGCCTGCACATCCAGCATCAGAGAGGCCTCAAACGCCGTCCAGACGGACCCGTGGGGCCCCCCAGCCCCTGGTGGTATTCCATTTCCGCTGTCCGGCCCAAATGCAGCAGCCAGACACATTTCGGAATACCCAGGAATATATGTAGGGTGCGCGGCGGCGGGCCTCGGCAGGGACGCCGCTGCTGCGAAGTGAGGCAGCAACAAGACAGCAGCACAAAAAGCACTCCGTGACAGAATAGAACGAAGGACATATGTGATGCGATGCAAGGGGTTAGTGGCTACAGGTCCATGTACACGAAATGTGCGCGAGGTCATTTTGAAAGTGAAAAAGTGGACATTTGTGTGTCACTCCTGCATGTACGGCTCACCGACAGACACAGGCCGCCGTCGCCCCTGTTTGTCTTGCTGCAGGAGCGGTACTCTGTGCTGATTGTGTCGCAGACTTTGCTGCTGCTGCTGCTGCTGTTGCTGCTGCTGTTGACTCTGCTGCAATATCTGATAGTCCCGCCGCTGCTGCTGCTGCTGCTGCTGCTGCTCCCACAACTGTTGCTGGGTTGATAACACGCAGGTGGCTATGTGGCCCCCAGGAGAGTCCCATGCCTCAGGCAAGCGGCTCGCTTCTGGAGCAAGCGCCATGGGGGCTAGGCGAGCAGCGCTGAACACAGCAGTGTGCTGCAGCAGCTGCAGCTGTGATATCTTTGTCGTGGGGCAGCGATAACGAGACACGCTCTTCGCAAGAAGGTGAAGCTCAAGAAACAATTGCAGTCAAGGCACAGGCCCGGTGCTGCCTGAAGTGCAGTGACTGCATCGATGCGGAGTGATACACACACCACGAAAGCCTACAGTGCCACACACAGGCTACTGAATTAGACTAAACCCCACACAAACAAACACACTCCTTCAGGAATATGAATTTGCTGAGTCAGAAAAGCCCTGCGAACATACGTGAGCCGCAGCAGCAGCTGTAGCGACAGCAGCAGCAGCTCAGCAACCGGTGGACCAGCAAGGCCTAGCTAGTAAAGGATTCTGTTCGGGCGGGCAGTAGCTGCACCATTAGATCACACAAACCAAATATTTCTTTCCTACAATTAAAGTGAAGGAAGTGAAAACAAATTGTGTCACCTTCCTTACAAATACGCAGCATTTGGGGCCACCAAGGTTCGATAAGTATGAGGCAGGTGTACAACGTAGACCTGCTGTCTATGCTCTTTGCGCTTCCCTACGACTTGTATCACACGAAAATCAGTTTGTTAATTGACTTCTAAACCGTGTTTGATAGGAAGACAGCAACAGAGAGTTCATTTTCCGGCTAGGTCCTCGCTAGACTGTGCCAGCCTACCTGGAAGCCTCTCACAGGCGTCGCGTATTCCCAGTATAGAAGCTGAGTTGCGAAGAGGCTCCTGTCTCATCCACTTTCCATTCCAAAACACTAATTCAACTCTTCTGTCTCACACTGAAGATGATTAGAAGGAAGGAAAATCGGGGAAGCACCAGCTCGCCTCGGGTTGCGTGGCTCTCAATTTTGCAAGAAATGAAGCCTTGTCATCCAGGCTACAGGCAAACAGGCTTGATATTTAGGCAATACAAATAAGCAGCAATTGAGCCACAGCGTGGAGCATTGAACTTCGGCATGCAGCGCTGTGATCTCCCAGCTACCTGCGCAATGCAGCTTGCAGGATGTCCTGCAAGCGACAAGCAATATAAGGGAACACCAGAAAATGAGACATCGCGGATGGCACTGCAAGTCACGCTAACTGGGAGCTAGCTGGGGCCCCGCAGCTACATGCATATACGTACGCGCCAGGTGGATATTAATCAGAAGGGTAAAGCAAACTGATGGCGCCCTATTTAACTAAACTGCAGAGAAGGCGCTACCATGGCGCCCCGGCCGCGGCACTGGCTACGCTGAAACCAAACTGTGCTGATTTCCTTTCCCTCATATATCGACTAGAGCGGTATTTTTTTTTAGCCCCAATTGGGGGATTTTAGGGGAAGATGTTGGGTTCCAGACCGGGTCCCTATGTAGTCGCAGCTGTGAGAGTGCAGTATACCACATTTTAAGGGCACCTTTCGATGTCTTATGGCATAGACAAACCGGCTAAGCGCTGCAAGACCCTAGCGCCAGTGGCCTTACTAAATCACTTTTAAGAGCAAATGGAGCCAGAAAGGCTAGGACAGCGCAATTCAAGGAGTCTTAAATGCACTTAGTGGCTAGAGAAGGCTGGGATCAGTGTTTAAAGCAGAGAAGGCTTCAAAATTTAGCCACAGCGAAGGTCTTCAGGAGCCAAAATTCGCGGCCAGTAAAGGCTTCTTTTGGGGCCCAAACGAGTCCATTTTGCCGTCCAGAAGTGGTGGATAGTGCTCGAGAGAAACTGGTTTCTACGGCAACGATTTCACTGACTAGCCTCACCAACAGTAGCGGGTCCCAAACACTAGAGAAGCCCTCTGCGGGCTGAGAGGAACACAAGAGATGCTCAGTAAAGGCGTTTAGTTTTTCTCAATGCCTTTGAGTGAACATCCAATTCAAGTTGGTGAAAGGGAATGAAGTTTGAGCTTTCTGGTGAACCTGTCCGACTCTTCCGCAGATCACGTTTCCCCCAGTGTCCTCAAAGGGAACGAGCTCTGCACTGGCAGCTAAGAGCCCTCCTAATTTGCTTTAGTTATTTCTTAATTGCATTCGTTCTACAGACAGTGCGCGCTGTGCACTTGACAGGAACTGCAAAGACCAGTCACTGCCAGTAAGTACAGGCGAGCCAAAACCTAGGGCTTCACGGATAGCTCAGCCTCTAAGTGAGTTGCTGGAAGCCTTAATAAAAAATTAACCTCTTATAGATCATCAATTTTATTGCGTTTAGAGCGAAAGTTGTCGCTTCTTCGCAGTGCAGCAAATTGCGAGTGCCCTTGCTGTAAAGGTGTCAGGTGTATGAACGCGAGGCAGCAGAAACTCTGGTTTCACTAAGCTCACAGTCTACCCCTAGCTTGACATTTTTTGGCCAGACCGCCGCATGCATGCAAGTCAGTGAGGTCTCAAAAGCTGAGAAGGAAGCCTTCGGCGGGACAAAGTTGATTGGGATTTGCTGCAGCTTGGGGAAGCCGCACTGGATGCGAAAATCAAATTGCTATTCCTCTGCAGCTGCTGCGGGAGCAGCAAAGTGCCTCTGCTGCGCTGCACTTCCCCTGAGCCTGCCTAATTTCCCTGTGGCAAGGAGAGGTGACGGGGGAGCCATCAGCAGCACCTGCAGCAACTTTTGCTGCTTGCCTTTGTTGCTGGGATAGCCTCAAACTCGGAACGGTAGCGCTCTACATACCTACTGCTTGAAGTGTACATACACTGAGCAGTCGGTAATTCACAGAGTGAAGCAGCTGGGACGCACCAGCAGCACCTGCTGCTGCCCCTGCTATCGGTGCCTTTGCTGCTTTTGCTGCCACTGCTGCTGACGCTGCAGCAAATCACTGGTAGTTTTCTTTCTCTGCAGCAGCCCGCCTTAGGAAGTCTGCTCTGTGTCTCTGTGCTGCTACTATCATTTCGGCTAAGAGCTCAGGGGCCCAGCTCTCTTCGCATAGGCGGGTTAGCAGCAGCAGCACAGAAGTCTGAAGCCCTCCTCCGGCTGCTGCTGCTCCTCCAGGTGTTGCTGCTGCTACTGCTGTCTTCCCATGTGAATCCCTAGCAGGCAGGAGGTGGCAAGCAACTTCGAGCAAGACACGAAAAGAGGCCCTGGCCCTCTCAAGATCATCTGCTGAAAATCCCCCTGCGCCACCTTCAGCTCCTGCTGCTGCTGCTGCTGTAGACCCTGCAGCTGCCGCTCCTGCAGCACGAGCAGGGGGGGCCCCGGGGAACCCCATACTACAGTTGCCTTCCTATGTTGCTGGGCTGCGATGTCCTGGGAATGCTATTGCTCCTGAGCAGCACGCAATCCTTTCTTCAGGTGACACTGAAAATATTGTTTCAACCGCGTTCAACTCTGCTGCTGCTGCTCTTGCGGCTGCTGCTGCGGGGGCTGGAAGTGCTTCTTCTCTTTGCTGTGTGGTCATGAACGCCTGCTGCTGCACGAGGTGGCACAGGAGCATTAAGGCTGAAGTGTCTAGGCGCTCTGCTGCAGTGACTGGAGGAGCAGCTGCTGCTTTTGCTGCTGCAGCGCGTGGAGGAGTCGCTGCTGCTTTTGCTGCTGCACTCGTTCCTGACGCCGGCTTCTGCTGCCGACACTCAAGATACTGCAGAGTTCTCCCGTATCAGCCGCCGAAATTTTTGCAGGAGGAAACAAATAATATAGGATTATATCTTGAGTTGTATCTCTTTTCCCTGCTGCTGCTGCTACTTCAGCCGATCTGGTGGGTGGCACCACCTTTGCAGGGGCCCCTCTGCTGAGGGCCTCGAAGAACTGCCCTTAGCAAAGAGCCCCGGGGCCCCTTGCTTACCCTTGTTGGTTCTTCTTGTGTTATATTATTGAAAACAAAGCGTAGTCATAAAGAAAAGAAGAAAACAAATAGAAGCTGCATTTCAGCAGTGATAGTGGCAGCCGATGGAGCAGAAGGCGCTGTGCAGTGGTGGACCAAACAATGCAGCAACGCCCTTCTGTGGATCCAGTTTTGCTCCGGCTGCTGCAGCTGCCATTCAGCTTTGAAGTTTGACATCTCGTTAAGTGGAACAGCAGCAGCAGAGGTGCAGCTGCTGCTCCGGCGCGTGCAAACCCATAAGTTACCGCTCGCGGAGCGCTGCTGGCGTCGCCAGCTGCTGCTGCACCTGTCGGCGCTCCTATTGCGCCTCTTATTGGCATGGTAAAGAGCAGCAGCTCTCTTCGTAGCGACTTAGCCGCAGCGGCAACAGCATGGAGCAGCTGGAGCGACGCGCAGTGTCAGCAACGGCAAAATGCAGCAGCAGAAGCAGCAGGCAGTCGCCGCATCAGCAGCATTTTGCTGAGCCGATGCTGTGCCTTCAAACCTTGTAGGCACCTCTGCAGCTGGCGGCTGTTGAACAGCAAAAGTTTGAACTGCAGCTTGGGGTAGTGGACTCTCTTGAATGCTGCAAAATGGAATTGCCAGGATTTTACTGGGACGCAGAGCGTCGCAGATACTTCCCGTTGCACTCTCTGCACCGGCCTTCCTCCGCCATTAACCCGCAGCCACAGCAGCAGCAGCAGCAGCAGGTGCAGCAGCAACAGCAGCGGCTATGGCAGCGCCAGCACCGGCAGCACCGCCGAAAGTGGCAGGAACGCTCGGAGCAGCAGCTGAAGCACATGCAGCAGCAGCAGCAGAATGCAGAGTCTGTCTTCCAGTCCACTGGAGGGCAGTTAAACCAGCAGCAGGGTCGGAAGCGCCAGCAGTTTGTGCAGCAACGGCAGCAGCGGGAGCAGCAGCAAAGGGAGCAGGGGCAGCGAGGGCCCAAGCAGCTGCGCTGCTGTCAGGAAGACAGTAGCCAGCGGCTCCGGTGCATCGTTAAGAGCGGCTTCAGCGTGAACAGCAGCAGCAGCAGCAGCAGCAGCAGCAGCAGAAGTACTAGCAGTAACAGCGAATACAGAAGTCGCGAAACTGGCAGGCCTAGCAGCAGCACCAGAGCCAAGAGGAGTTCCTCTTCAGGGAGCAAAAGTGCTGCAGCTGCTGCTGCTTCAATGGCTTCAGCGGCTAGAGAGGCGGAGGTGCTTCCTCCACGCAACCTTTTGTACGCTATTCGCCGGATGCGTCTCGGCAGCAGCAGCAGCAGCAGCATCTCTTGGACGCAGTGGACTGCAGCAAACACGAGAGCGAGGGCCTTTGCCACTGCGCTGAAGCAGCTGCACCTGCCGCTGCCTCTTGGCTTTTCACCCTATGTTTGTCTTGCTGCTGCCAGCTCGTACTCCCCTGAGCAGCAGCAGCGGAAGGCTTCTTGCAACTGGCAGCTGCTGCTCTCTCTAGGTGGGGAAGGGGGAGGTCGTTTGCTGCAGTTCGGCGCGACAGCAATTTTGGCGGCAAGTGCTGCAGCAGAAGCAGCAGCAGCAGCAGAAGGCGCCGTCTTGGGCTCGCCCTCCCGCTGGGTTGCTGCATCTGCATCTGAGCAGCCACTGCAGCAGCAACAAGAGCTACAGCCGTACTTCCCAGGCAATAATAGTTACTCAGCCCCTGTGCGGCAGCAAGGAGCAGCAGCAGACGAAGGCTTTGGTGAGGCTCCTGTTCCTCACGCTGCTGCTGCTGCTGCGTGTGTTGCTGCTGCTGCCCCTGGCCGTCTGGTGGACATTGCAGTGGTGGGGCCTCTTGCCGTTTGCTGTCTTCGCAGCAGCGGCCGAAGCCCTGGCGCTCTTGTAGTGCAGGAGTCGAGCAGCAGCAGCAGCAGCAGACTGCTGTGGGCTGACTGGAATGCTGCAGCAGACGCCTGGGCGTGCGCCTCAAGCTTGTCTGCAGTGCCACCAGAAGCAGCAGCAGCAGCGCCAGCAAGAGAGCCTTGGTTTGTTCTGGCCGGCAGGCAGCCAGCAGCACAGCTGCTGCGGCCACGCGAGGGGCAAACGAGGCTGCAGAAGGTGTGGATCACAACTAAAAAGGCGGAACGGCTGCTGCCGCGCTGCTGTGCTGCTGCTGCATGGTGGTCAGAAGCAGCAGCAAACGACCCGTTTGCTGCCGTTGATGGTGCAGGGGTGGCTCTGGTTGGCGGCCACGGCAAGGGCCTTGTAGCAATCGACCCTCGCTGTGCGCTTCCTGTAGAACTTCAGAAGCAGCAGAGTAGCAGCAGCAGCATCAGTTCTATTGTTCCTCTCCAGACCCATACAGCTGGTGTAGTTACTCGCAGCGGTGTCGAGGGTCTTGCATTGCTGGACTTGAGACGGTTTGGAGGACCGAGGACTCAAGAAGCTTCATGCAGGTTAGATTCGGTAGACTAGAATCCAAATGCACTGGTACTGCTTCCCATTCGCAGCAGCAGCACTGCGAACAGCAAGAAAAGACGAGAATAATACTTTTGAATGTTCGCTCTTGCCCTTGGGTTCCTCTTCTTACTACCGAGATCATACTCCACATTACGATTGTTAGTAATGTTTATTTTCTGCTAATGCTGTTGCGAATGCTGCAGCCGCCTTGCCGCCTGTACCGTTCGCGAGTTCCTGCCTGTCCGCAGTAGGACTTCGAACACCTTCTTCTGCAATAGCGACAGCAAATGGCGTTTTTCTGTGGACAGCAAAGAGGAGTTAATTGTTGCCCCCTTCCCATTTAGCAGCGGCAGCAGTTACTGCAGCAACTGCAGCAACGGCCGGGGAAACGGCAGCTTTTTCATATTTGACATTCAGCGTGGAGACTGTTGCAAAGAGATTGCTGCAGCTCCTTGTGCATCAACTGACGATCTACCACCATTCGAGCTGTTCGGCTGCTGCTGCTTGCTTCCTCGGGCTGCCGCAGGTTTCCGCGACGCTTCGTACGTTCATCAGGAAGTGCTTGTACATCCAATGCACGAGTCAGATCAGGAGCCTTTCGCTCACATCCCCTCACAGAGCCTACAGAGCTGCATTTGTGGTCGCAAGCGCTATGAAAATCCTCCTGTGGAAGCATCAGGGCAGCGTCACCAGCCCTTCAGGTGCGTGGATACCTGGGAGTGCTTTTGTTGTGACTCAACGGAGAGTGCCAATGTGGAACAAAATAGGCAGATATCTAGTGCATGCTGTGCACTACTGCGACTGGGAGGCTGGCCTTCTCATGCTGCCCTGACGGCTCCCAGGGCTGCCACAGCAGCAGCAGCGGCGGCAGCAGCCGCAGCAGCAGCCGCAAGCGAGGTGGGCGGATCAGTATTCGTTGGAGCGAGTACGTGGGGCCTGCATGTTATGGTAGCAGCACCACCGGATGCTGTATACTAGCATGGCAGCAGCTACCACAGCAGAAGTGCCTCGTGAATTACCAGGTGGCGATCCTGTTGGAGCGCTAACGTGGGCACTTGGAGCCAACGTGGGCAATCGGAGAATGGTTTGTACCTGTTCATAAGCGCCACAAGGCGCATTTTACGTTAGCCAAATGTTTTGTCTTATCAATCAGATGTTTCCAGCTGCGTGTAGCGGATTTGCCATAACGGAACTGATTCCCCCTGTGTCACAGTCAGTTTATTACAACAAGAATGGTGAATCTGAGAAAGTAGTGTTCCCCTTCTCGCCTTTCTTTTGTATCATCAGCGACTTAGTTTCAAAGTGGCGTGCTGGCAAAGACAGAAGTGAATATTCTGTAGTGAAGAAAGCTAAGTGCACACCGTGAGTTCTATGCGCACGCTCGGCACGATGCATACGCGTGTACAGACTGCCAGTTTGCTTGTGTCTGAACTCAATTTGTTCCCCTTTTCTGGAACAAGAGGATAGCGCATTAGTACAGAGGCTCCGCCAAATGGCACGTGGGACGGTTTTGCAATTGCTCCAAGCGAAAGGTCAAGTCAGCGCATAAGCGCGTATGTTGCTTGGCTTGAAGATGCGAAATTAATGCCACTCTCAGTAGCTGGCTTTTTTAAGCGGTGGCCAGAAAAGTCCTTGAGGTCTGAGAGGAGACGTGGGAAACAGCTTGCAGATGTTACCCTCCACGTAGAACGCGGATTTGGGAACTTAGCCTGCTGGCTTGTGCTCATATGCAACCAGCGTATTTTAGCACGCAAAGCTGTAGGCACATGAGACGCACAAGCTGCCAGGTGGACAGTGATTTATATTGGGGGCGCCACTTTCGGCTGGGCCACGCTGACACGTCATGAAGCGCGAAGTGCAGCTCTGATGTATTTTGATCATTGGGATGCTGCCTTTTGTTTTTTTGCGTTTTCTTGCTTAATGGTATTAGCGGGAGCATTTCCAGATGCACAGAATCGGTGCGCACGCAAAATACAAGCAAGCCTTAAGCGGCGCATCATTCTATAGTAAGCTGCGCATTCTGTGCACTATGTACTGTTCGTTTCCTGCCCATCTGACTAGCATAATGCACTGACAAATGAGACTGACACCTCAGCAATGACGCCCTAGAAAGTGTATCCAGCTCTTAAACATTTTATCGCCTTGAAGTGTTTAGAAGAGGACAGAAAAGCAAAAGTACTTGTATGCATAAGTGTTCTTCGGGCCATAGTTCTGTGATCTCTCTGGCTTCACAGGTTTAAAAGAACACGCAATCGATCTTCCGTCAGCAGCTCTGAGGTGCTGGAGATTGAACGCTGCCAGCTGAGAAGGTAGGGAGCAGAAAGGATGACTAGACTGGCCTGGCTGGAAGGCTTCACTGTAGCTGGCTTCTTGGACAAGAATGAGTAACCTAACGAGTTGGTACTAAGAGGTGTTGCGTGTCAGAAGAGAAATTGAAACAGCAAAGGGAATGCAGAAGAAAAGACAAACAGTCCACGCGGTGTTCTGTGTCAAAAGAGAAAATGAAGCAGCAAAAAGGGGATGCAGAAGAAAAGACAAAAAGTGCCTAAATGAGACATTAGTTCATACGAAAACTGCCAGCAGCATTTTTCGATGGAGCCCAGAAGGCGTTTTGTGCTCATGTGGCGAATAGACGACTCCAAGTCGAGAAGCATCTATGAACATGCATATTCTTAAAACATATGGCTCATAAAACGAGCCCGCCTGAGATTAAAGTCCTGTGGCTGCATAGCCACAAACCTCTAAAATGTCCATGCACCTGCGCTCATATTCGAGCACATTTAAGCGATTTTTCCCGCTCAATTATGCACGGATTCCCGGTACGCTAGAAACGGACACGCAGGTAGAAAACTGCGTAGCAAAAAAAAATTCGTTTCCTGATGTGCAAGTGCGCACGTGCACACAAGTACTCACCAGACAAAAGGTGACCATTTGAGCCTGGCATCGCCGAGGTACCTCGTAAGCACAACGCGGCTAACTTGAAAATTTAAAAAACTACATTGGGCTGCAGAGCCTTTGCCCTGCGGCAGGAAAGCAAAACTTTAAACTGCTTTCACCAATTATTGGCCACATATCGTCAGCAATGTGGCATGAGAGGTCAAAACATAAAAGCTGATTGGCTGGTTTTCGATGAAGCGAGATTGGCGCGCGCTCTGCGCTTCTTGTCATCCAGTAGCACCTCAATGAAGGCTAAGAAGTCGGCGTCCTCATCGACGTTTCGTTTGGAGAAGAGTTTGTTTAATTCATTAGTGTTGCTGGATACAACTCTTAAGGAAGTTATGCCTTTGGCTCTTAACCATGCTGCCCTATGCGGATGGGTCTTCAGAAGGCCAGGCTCCTGTTTGTCTCGCCTTGTCGGGCGCACTGAGACAGGGTAGGAGCCATGAAAAAGACTGCACATTGGGCTTTCCAACAGAGAAATCGGGATTTCCATTGGCTGTTGCTTGAGGCGCTCTGCACCTTCCATGTGCTGTCTAATGGGCGTTGCCGGTGGGCCCGCCGATGTACCACAAGCACATCTTTTCTTCTGCTCCTTCTGATATCCTGTTTCCTCAACATGGTTGTTTTGGTTTCGATTTCCGCTCCATAAATGGTGCTCCGGGCGTTTCTTTGTAAGCAGTTGACTTTGTAACGGAGGCCTCTGCGGTTCGTTCGTAGGTGGCGGTGATCTGGAGGAAAGCCACAAAAGACCTGGCGGGCCAGCTGCGTCGAACCGGCGCAGTATAAGGGGTCGGTTAGGTCTGTTCGTGGGGTCTGGTGTAGGCGTTGTGGGTTTGGCACCTGCGTTTGAGGCCGGGGACGCGCTGCACGAGATATTGGTACAACAAACAGAAGGCCCCATAGATATATTAACTGCTTCTACCTGCACTAATATGAGCTCATGACCTGTTTTAGTGGGCGCTATCACATGCAGGCGTGGCCAACAACGCTTCCGTGCTTCCGGAACTGGACAACAGAATGCAGCATCACTCACTTAATGTACCTCCATGGGTGCTGTGGAAAGACTCTCCCTTTATTCATCCCTTTCCGCTCCATTGTGTAGTGGTATTAACCCATGGACGACCCGGATCTGGTGAGAAGTTAGCTCTGGCGAGTCGAGTCACCTTCAAGAAGGGTGGACACCGTGATACTTGGTCTTAGCCTCGTCTTTCGGTGGAGTCTTGTGATTCGTATTTTTTGCCAAGATAGCCCCCGATAACACAAAAACAAACGGGCAAGAGGCAGCGTGCGTGGGTGCACGTGGCCGCTAGCCCAAGTGTGTCCACGCAGCCTCTAAATGAAAAACGGAGTTGCGACCTTCACGAGTAGGCACGAGGCTAAAAAAGCTGAAATACTTAGCCCCTCCTCTCTAAACACTCATAAATACGTTTATAAACAAACAAATTTGACGAAGAAGAGAGTAGAGGCCTTCGACCATGCGGATGCCCAATACGCGAAACAGCGCACCATCGGCTCGCGAGACTAGGCCGCTACAAGGCAGCACCTTAGTTTGTACCGTAAGTTTAGACCAGTTGTTGCCCGTTTTAGTTCACATGCTATTATTAGAGCACTTCTTTGCTTTCTGATTTCAAGAAGGAGGAGAGAACTTAACACAATTTCAGCTGCTGGCCTCCACCGGGTCATGCAGGAGGTTCACATTGATGTGACCAGACTTCACCAGCACAATTTCCACGACACATTTTCCAGTTTTAGCTACCTGCCTATTTCTCTAGCACAAATAACATAAACGCGAATCTATAGGCAGCCTTTTTCCAGCACATACGCCCTACCCAAGTTTCCACTGTTCGACCCACTGTACTAAAGGAGCAGCGGCATCTCAGTGAAGTGACAACATGCAAAATCTGACACACAAGTTAATTAAAGTCACGGCTTTTCAAACCGAAAACAGTGACTGAGTGTGGCTCTTGGCGACGTACAGCAGGAAGAGACACTTGCTTACAGGACTTCACACTAGCGAGTGGTGCTTTGTTGGAAATGAATGTGACGTTGGTAAGCACGTAAGTGGGGCATTTATGCTGGTGGTAACATTTTGTCTGATGCAAGGAAACGGCTCATAATAGGTAAAATCTTACATTCAGAATGGGTATTGTCGCCTGCACACAAAACCTTCCTGCCGATGCTGAATTAGTGGGCGCATCTCAACGGCACACGCCGTTATTCTTGCGAATCGTACACTTGCCGAGCAATTCATGCCGTACAGCCGCAGTCAAGAAGTGTACCTCCTCGTTCGCTATTCAGCGTGACTAAAGCCCTTCAATCTGGGGTAAAATGGCAAATTCACGCAATGGCGATTAGCGTTGCCTGAAGAAGAAATGATGACGGCAACGTTTGGCGAAGGCAGGAAATAACTGCGCATGCCGGTTACAATAGACAATACAGTTACTCTGTTTCTTTGATCCATCCACTCCAGCCGCAGCACTTCAGGAGCCTGGAGTGTGATAACGTATACTCTCTGAGTCCTTTGCGCACACCAAGCTGTCTTCTCGATGGCAGATACTCATCAAGGACAGCGAGCATCCTATGTCTTTTAGAGTAAAAGCCTCATGCTTCGCATTTCTAAATGCTCCAATTCGACTTCGACTGTCAAATGGCGCTAAATAACCATCATGGCTCTCACAGAAAACTTCGCAAAAAGAAGTATCGGTATTCTTCAGGCGGTACAAAAGGCCGAGCAGCATTTGTACGAGCGTTCCATTCAGGTAAATGTTTCGAATCAGCTCGACTCGGTGAAATAAAAGTAACAAGACATTCACCTGAGTACTGTCCACGCAGTGCAGCATTCGGCATGCACGATGATGGAAAGTCCCTCTACAACGCTTTCACCCAGAGGGATGATTTTTAAAAAGAAGGCGTGTATGCTCACTCGCTTCAACTCTGAATGCCTAATAATACTGACAAACAAATACAAAAAAACAGACGAGAGGCAGATGCAAACAAATGACAGGCTGCGAAAACGTAACCTTTCGCACCGTTCGGGCACACCAACATAAGTGATCGTACCCGCGCATGCTTGGAGTGAAAGATAATAGACTGCGAAGAACAGCATTCCATTTCTCTGATACAAAAGGGAAAAAATGGGTATGCCAAGAATATCATTTTTTGTGGAAAGGAAGACATGCATTAGATGAGGCGAGTTGGGATGTAAACGGATGTATTGAGAGTTACACTTCACCATTGCTGACGTCCCTCGTTGTAGCGTCGAGCAGCACAGGCTAGAAGGAGTGCTGTCACTTGCCTGGTAGTATCGCCAATAGGTGTATCGAGCACTTGCGGTCTGAAAATTTTTTTAGCAATTAGGCATGTTCACTTTATACGTTTCATGTTTGTTTAGGTTCCGTTTGTAGCCCCATTTCGACTGCAGTCTCGATATAGTTGCGCCGCTAGTGTCTTCTAGCTTCCTTCCAGCCAGTACTAGGGCAAAATAATGACTGCTGCCAGTACTTCAGCATTGCTCAAGGCCGATTTCGAGCACACCAGCTGGGAGGAAGGCAGAAGCATGAGCTGGCACGGAGCTGTTGCAGAGCATACGGCTACAAAGGCAAGGGCTGCGGAAGCAAAAGCAGTTGGAAGATTTGCTGAATAAAGCTTCACACCCTTACAGAACTCATGACAGCTTGCTGCTCTCCGGTGTGGTTGAAAAAAAAGAATGACACTGCTAAGCTGGAGGTGTGCTGGAAATTAGGTGAGCGAATGACTACCTTATATTCTAACAGCAGGCAAAGCCAAGGTGCTTTCAAATTTCCAGATCATGCCAACCCAGTGGCTAGCCAATAATTCCCTGGCTGCGGGTTGCTTTAGTCAGACATGCAGAAACTGAACATGTTTGACCAGAAAATCTTTCTCACTTAGAAGAAGCACAGACACTTGAACGGAGACATGTGGTTTCCTTCCTTTTGAAGAAGTGGTCATGGGGAATCACAACGAAGATTGATACTGAGTAAAACATGCAACGGTACTGAACACAAAAAACCCAGTGCATGTATATCTCTCTGGACAGTGCACCTATATGAAGATAAAGAGCGGTGACCATCACCATCCAGGAGTGGAATTTGATGATAGTTCATGCCGGGTTGCTAAGTGAGTGCAAATACTGAAAGTAGCCTCAGTAGATCAGCCGAACGGCTTAGGGTGTAAAAGTAGGTTGCCGTCTTTGAGGGACGCTTTGCCAAATTTTCGCGCCTTCAGCTGTATAGCTTAGTAGAAGGCTGTATCATTAGTTTAGTAGAATGCTGTAACATTAGTGAAAGGTCTAGATGGACTTTCCAAAAGTTCGTAACGGTGTGCAAGACACTCTGCGCTTGACAGTGCGCCTGTCCGACGGCTCACGCAATACCTTTCGGTTCATTTGGCTCGCGGATTACTCAATGTTGTCGTTCACTGAGAAACACCTGCCTCGCCACTAGTTTAAAATGCGGATGTTTTGCGCCCTTATTTAATTTTCCGATGCAGATATACATTTTCAACGACAAAACAGGCTCGCAGATGGAATCGAACCGATAGAGCTCACTCTGCAGTCCAGACTAGATGTTTAAAGAGCTTGAATACACAGAGCCTTTTTTATACTAACTCAGTTGTCCGTCTGTCCAGTCACTCCAATCCGACGCGCACTACGAAGAAGTGCGCCGACTGCGGGTCACCTTTTCCGCAGAAACCTTTCCGTCGGTGTGTCCTTAGCTTACCTGTGGAGCTGTAAACAATACAGCTCTTCGCATGATTATCCAGCAAAAAAGCTCACGTGCTCTAACTTGGCCTAAGCGCTTGCGCTAAAGTTGCTCAGTTCCCCGATTCCCACCGTCACACTGGTGACTTCGAGGCCCGCAAGAACATCATTGGTCGCATTTGCTTGAAGCCTTTGGGCCCTTCTTGAAATAATGACCAATTAAAGTATTTTGTCTGGTGTTTAAGGCTATTTTATGCTTTTTAGTACCATATTATCCACGGATAGGGTGCCCTTAAAACTTGTTGCATCCGGCGGGATGATGCCGATTGCGGGTATGCTCCGCAAAGTAAGTAAAAATTGAGCGCAAACACACTGCAAATGTGCAAATATACACCAATTGATATAAGCAGTTTTATCGAAGCAGTAATAAGGGTAAAATATATACTTCTGCCTGTCTGATGCTGTGGAGAAAAACGCTCCTCAAGGCCGGTGAGCAAGCTGCGGTGGCCTTGCCGCCTTTGTCTGCACGCTTGTCTGGACTACAGCTACAAATCAGCACAGTTCTTGATAAAAATCAATTATCGAGTCTTTTAAAAAGGTGTTCGGTTTCGCACTTTCCCAATGCGGAGGCCTTATGTATAGCTTGCGTTGACAGACATCGTGCTTTACCGATTGCAGTGGACCTGAGAGGCTTACTACGTGCCTTGCAAAAGTTCGCATGGGCTAAGGCCAAACCAACTGATCAGAGCAACATGGTCAACGTTCCAATAAATTACAGCGTGCGCATGACTTCTTTACACACACTCAGCTGGCCTTTGGAAGCCGCTTGCTCTTGTCGTTGAAAGCCACGATTAATTTTGCCGGACGATGGACACGGACATACCGGCAGCAGAAGGTCCTTTGAACATTCAGTGCAGGGCGAGAACAAGTGAGATGCCCTCCATGCTGCCCTTGAATCTGAGATACAAAGTTGCCTGCTGTGGAAGTCTGCGTAGCAAGCCATGCTTCATGTGCTGGCCTGGTCTATTATGGACCCCAATGACAATTCATATTTGCTGCGTATGTTTACAGCTTCCTCAACATAAAACAGCCGCCGCGTCCAAACTTGTATACCGTGGCCTGCTTGCATTTTGCCCAGGCCGTGCCGTCCCTGGATTCACACTCGAAGTTATCTCGCACCTACACCAAGGCGTCTGAGCCTAGTTTTTGCATCTGCACGAGCAGATCCTCTCTCTGGGCTAACCTTTTCCTCGACTTTTCAGAGGATGACATCGTCTGACGAAAGCCAACAAGAAGACAGAGCGCAGAAGCGTCTGCGCCTCGAACAACTACAGGTTGTTAGGGAAGTCCCATTGGATTTTGCCGCTGCATCAAGCTTTCACTCAAGAGGGCAGATTCAGTCAGCGCCCATTAAATTTGGCGAACACTGGCATCTGGCTTTTAGTCAAAGTGCCGCAATATCGGCGCAGGACCAGACTGCGGCTGTTGAAAACAATGGAACTGCAACTCAGGAGCAAGCATTACCTAATTTTCGACAAGGGCAGGCATTATGCGAACACCAAGAACACTCCACGGACGACGAAGCCCTGCACCTCGATACGTCGAGGCCTCATAGGGATATGCGGCAGCGTTGCAATCTGATCGATATGTCAAGGCCTTATCCCTTTCCGATAAAGGAGACGGATCAGCGTCGAGACCGCATCTCTTCGCGATTCCCTGTAGTGTCTCCCGGCTTTTGTCTCCCAGTGAAGACGCCAGAACGCAGTCAATCGGCACCAGTATCGGACTATGGAGAAAACTCATCTCAGCCGGATATTATCGATCTGATACTCTCACCCGAAGCAGAGAGTTCTGACTATACGGATTTAGAAGATACTGAAAGCTCCATCCAGTCGCAAGAGGAAGAAGATTCAAGCCAATAATTACGTATGCTCCAAGGCAGGAAATCAGATTTTGACAGTGAACATTCAGCAGCTGCTGTCTACCCCGGGATCAGCACAGATGAAACGCCTTGAAGCAGAAGTAACCTTCAGTGCATCTAGAGATTTTTAAATGCATCAGAGGGCAGCTGTATCACCAACAGCACACTGACTTTTTAACAAGCGCCCGGACAAACCACCATGCATCATCTACGGAGGGCAGTAACAAACCAATTTGATTCATTTGACATTCGTCCCTATGTGTAAACTTCTTGTATCTTTTCGATACGTCAAGAGCAGTTGCTTATTTGGTGAACTTGGAAGGATTGTAGATCTCACTTTACAATGAAGCGCACGCCGCTTCCAAGAAACACGGATATTCTTGCCGGCTGTAGAAAAATGGCATTTTTTCAAAAAATAATCTGTTTTTTACAACCGGTGAGAATCCCCGGGCTACCTGCCTTCGTTAACGCGCAACCAGTTGTAGTTACGTGAGACTCGCACTGCAATTATCCGCGCCGTTTGGTGCGTGCAGCGAATTGACCCAGTTAATTTGGGCTGAAGCACTTGAGGCATACAATAATTCATGTCTGCCCAAGATGCGCTTTATTTCACCAGCACAAACACTTTTGATCTTTTCAGCAAACAACGGCGGACTTTCGGTGAAGTTAACAGGGTATCAATTTCGCTAACGCGACACGGTAGGCTCTTATATTGCTTCCCCTGGATTTGATTCGACCTACATGGATCAGGGCTTCATTGCACGAGACTTTCAAAACCGTGACGTTCCTTGTGACAGCCAAGCTTGCACTAAACGTAAATAACTTGACTGCTCATTCTTTTGGCTTTCCTATGTTGAAGGCCGGCGCGCTGTAGTGATTTAGTGCAAAATATTGCAAACCAATTCATATTGCACATTTACAAAAAGAACAAACAAGCACAGAGCACAAAAGCCTACTCGGGAAAAAACAAAAACAGATCCACTTCCAACTTCTTGAGAAATAAAAGGCATCACAGGTTCTCCATGAATCCGCAAACCCTAAGAAGAAAAGAAAATAAATTAAAATCAAAAGTTTATTTTTGCAATTAATTAACTTCAGTCTTCACTGTGAACGTACACAGAGAGGGTCTCCAAGCGAAGCAGTTATGAATGAGTCAAACCTAGACGTGAAATTTTAACAGAGAAGCATTGTCTAGCTGGTTTTGTCCCGTTAAGATATTTCTTCTCTGGTCACTAAGCCACGCAAAGTACGCGTTTCAGGGTATTCAGCGCCTATACTTCTCAAATGTGTGCACGCTGACAAAAAAGGCTTAGGCCCATAGTTTTGTGCTACAGCTGGGCCAGCTCTTTGAGATGATGAAGAATAGCGCAATATATATGTGCTTTACCATAGAATAAAGACCTGTAACGGTAGCCTGGGCTGTTACCTTTTCTATCAGCCAAGGCACTGCCAATAGACTTTGTGTTGAATTCTGGCATGAAAGTTTATGCCGGAGCAAAACATACACAGATGAGGCGAAGTTCGCGGTAGCTTTGCTACAGCGGAGGCCTACTCGCTGTAATGATGTGATGCGCAAGATACAATTTGCAAACGTGGCTAGTCCACATTGCAGATTAACATATACACGTGCCTGAAGTCAGGCCTCAAGGACCCGCCTTAGCGTCCTCATCGCAAATCAAAGACACCTGTGCTGTGATTCGTAAGTTGGATATTCCAATTACAACATGCAGAGCTGTTTGATTCCACCCTCTTCTTGGCCGTGTTGCTGAACTGAAGGTTGAGAAACATAATTTTGGCTTCAGTTTAATTGCATTTGCTATCACCGAATGCAATAGCTTCAGAAAACGCCTTTGCAAGCGGTTCATGCAGGGATGGCGTCTCATGCTTCCCCTCAAGGTGTCAACATGGAGTGCCTGTCCCTATGAAAGCCCCTGCAAAAACCCTTCTACTTTTGGGTCCTCCATGCATGCAGGATGGAGACAAGGTTTTTCAATTGGGCCTCCATTCGATGGTCTTGGCGACGCCGCTTTCTCGGTGTTAGCTTCTCCGCATTGCATTCGGCGGAAGGAGCCTGTGCGTCTGACTCTTTTTGCTGCTCCAGAAGTTCCGCGATTGTTGCCCATTTAACTGGCCGTGTCTTTGCTTTCTGGCGCAGAGTAGGAAGACGTGTCTCTCTTTCCTTTGCTCCGTTCGATGCGTTTGTGACAGGACGGTTTTCATCGACGGTTTTGTGTTGATTCTGTTCGTCTCGGGCCCGCGTTTCAGAATGCTTGTTACTTCCTGATTGCCGAACAGCAGGCGGTGGCGGCAGTGGTGCTTCCTTATCTCCGGTCTGCCGGTGGCCATCAAGGTGAGAATTGCATTGTCCAATTGCCTTAATTAGTCGTCGCTGTGTCGATTTCATAGACACTAACAACTCTTGAAGTACAGCGTTGATGTATCCGAGCTGTGAGATGGCTTTGGGCCCCAGTTGCTGTACACACTTTCTTAGCTGTGCCGGCGTCATGCTCGGTAGAATGGTAAATGATGACATACTAGATTTGCTTTCCTGGCACTTGGCGGTAGCTCCAGTTCCTTTTGATCCAGCTGGTTCAGGTTTGTAAATCCGTGTCCATCTGTCCAGTGATTTCTTTAGGCCATCAAGAAGAACATGCCATTGCTCAAAGATCTTCTCCGTCTTGGCTTCCTCGTTTTGAGATGATATCTCTCTTTCTTCTAAATTACGAAGAGCCAGCTGTTGAGGAGCATTTCTGGTGAGCTGGGCACCTGCCATCTGGTCCTGCGCCGGTACGCAATTTTCGATAAATTCAATCTGCTCTGGCTGAATGTATCGTCTTGAGTGAAAGCTTGATGCAGCGGCAAAATCCAGTGCGACTTCCCTAACAACCTGCAGTTGTTCGAGGCGCATGCGCTTCTGCGCTCGGTCTTCTTCGTCAGAAGATGTCATCCTGTGAAAGCTCGATGAAAATGTTAGCCCAGTGAGAGGATCTTCCCGTGCAGATGCAAAAATTAGGCTCAGATGCCTTGTAGTGCACGTGCGAGATACCTCCCAGCGAGCATCCAGTGACTGCTCGGCCTGGGCAAAATGCAAGCAAGCCACGGTATACAAGACTGGAGGCGGCGGTGTTTCTGTGTTGGGAAAGCTGTAGACACACGCAGCAAATATGAGTCGTCGTCATTGAAGACCATTATAGACCAGATCAGCACATGAATGACTGGCTACGTGGACGTCCACAACACATAATTTTGTATCTCAGCTTCAAGGGCAGCCTTGAAGGCATCTCACTTGTTCCCGCCCTCCATTGAAGTTGCGGAGGAACTGCTGCCCGTTTGCCGGTGCATCGAGTGGATAAAATTAGTTCAGGCCTTCAACGGCAAGAACAAGCCGCTTTCAAATGCTAGCTCAGTGTGCTTCAAGAAGTTAATACAGGCTGTAATATATTGTAAAAGTTGATCTTGTAGTCCCGATCGGCTGATTTGGCGTTAGCTCATGCGAAATTTTATGAGGCAGCTAGTGAGCCTCTCAGCTACATTGCAAGCAGAAAAACACACCGGCAAAAAACAGTGTCTTAAAAGGCACAACAGAGAAAAGCTGTTCGCATTGATAAAAACAATTGGAGCAATTATCAAGAAGACTCGAAAATTCGTGGAGAGTAAGAAGTGTGGTGACCAAAAGTTGATGCCCAGGCCAGCGAGCAGACATCTCGACAGCATCCTAGCTTGCTCACCGGCCTTGAGGAGCGCTTTTCTCCACTGGATCAAACGAGCAGAAGTATATATTTTGCCCTTATCGCAGCTTCAATAAAACTGGCTTTATCAATTGATGCATCTTTGGCGCGTGTTTGCGTCTAATTGTAGCAGCGTTCCTTGCCAAACATACCCGCAACCAGCGTTATTCCACCGGATGACAAGCTTTAGCGCACGCACACTATCCATGGACAATATGGTCCTAAAAACATAAAATAAGTGTATGCACCATATAAAACACTTCAATTAGTCATTATTTCAAGAAGGGCCGTGACATTTCAAACAATTGCGACCAATGTTCTTGTTCTTGCGCGCCCTCAACTCACCAGTGTGCGGGTGGGAATCGAGGAACTCAGCAACTTTAGCGCGAGCACTGAGAGTAAGTTAGCACACCGGAGTTATTTTTTCGAAGCACTTTGCAAGGAACGGTATTATGTGTACTGCTCCACCGATGAGCTAAGGAGACAACTGCGGAAAGGCTTCGGCGGCACAAGTGACCCACAGTCGGCGCACTTCTTTGTAGTCAGCCTCCACTCGCAGTGATTGGGCAGACAGAAACTTAGCTCGTCATAAAGCAAGCTTTTTATATGTGTACTTATGCGATATGTAGAATTCAAAGCTACGGAAGGAACTCTATCGGCTGGATCCCACGTGCAAAAATGGGCTTGCACTGCCGTCGAAAAAGTGAAGCTGAGCAAACAAATTGCATACGGCAGCATGATGGCTACAGTTTGAAATAGGACCGAAGTAGTAGTTATGGAGCGATTGCCACTAAAGAATAATCCGCGAGGCAGTTGAAGCAAAAGCTACGGCGTAAACCATCAGTGTAGTGAACAGCCGTCCCGCACTGTTACTACGTATGGTCCCAAGACAAGCCCGACTTAGGTGAGCGCTCGGCTCTGTCGGTCGAAGGTACCTGGTAAATAACCAACAACTATCTGAAACCTTAATCAACCTTCTACGATGGAGTTCATATCATTTTGAGGTGGGGAAAAACCCAGAATAATAGAACTGAGAGCTGACCCTCACTGAGGGTCAGCGTCCGAGTCGCGTCACAGCACCAACCTCGCGCGCTGCCCCGCTGAGGTCAGTGCCCCAATCGCGTCACGGCACCAACCTCACGCGCAGCCCCGCACCCGGTGCTGGTTAGCGAGCCCATTGTTCCCTCTTGTGATTCCCACTATCCCACAGTGCCTTAAGCTCTAAGATATTCAATATTATTCATGCTTCCCACATTAGCAAGTATCGGGTGGCGACGAAGGTCAATTGTAGTGCCATGCACTACAATCAGCCAGCTGCACTGTCGGGTTCAATAGCCTCGCACGGCTCCTTCTTTCGGTAAATTCGTCTAGACCTTTCAACAATGTTCCAGCCATAATTGGCTATACGGATGAAGGCGTCAGAAATTGGCAAACCGTCTCTCAACGACGACACCTCACTTTTACAGCGTGATTCACGTGGTCGATCTACAAACGCTACTTGCAGTATTTGCGCTCCCTAAGCGGCTAGGTACGCAGTATCGGGGGCCGCTTGGGAATGGTGAAAGCCTGCAATCTGCGGCTTTTTAACAGGCTCCATTCCCCGTGCAAACTTATTCACGCGACCAAATGCGCTCAGTGCTGCCGAGTATTCCTGAACTATTACCCCCTCCTAAACTACTAGCCTTCGTTGTGACCCCGCACAGTCACTGCTAAGGATGAAAAATGCATGTTCCAGTTCAAATAGATCGTTTTTTTTAAGAGCAAACGCTCCTTCAGTCAAGCACAAAACATATCGAGTAGCTTCATGTCCGGCCCAAGCAACCCGCAGCCAGGAGCGCGCTGCTGGCTATCTACTACAGTGGTGTGCCACAGCTAATCAAAGGATGCACCTGTTATGGCGTGTCCATCTTATCAGACGGCTCGCTCAGTCTTCCCATTGTGGCCCACCCATTCACTAAGGAACTGGGGGAAACAATAAGCCACAAAAATCCTTACATTGTGGCTTGCTCATTCACTGCAGGCTTGCTGCAGCTCTCAGCAGCAATCGTAAGCTCTGAAGCAGGTATCAGCAGCTGCTTGCCGAGAACTAGGAGTTACACTAACTAGTGCGGAGGCGGCACTAGCAGCGGCCACTGCACAGAAACAGTGGTTGCTGAAATTGCTTTCCAGCAGATACACAGAATGCGCGTGACTCTTCTTCCGCCGGGCGACAAAGCATACAAAGAATACAAGACAGGTGGGAGACGCCGCTCCTCCCTTTTACTGCGCGTGCAAGAGTTGGGCTGCTGCCATCTCTGCCTCTGCTGCTTCCGCTTCTGCCTCCTCTGCTGCTGCGGCTGCCTCCCGAGCAGCAGCTGCAGCAGATGCTGCCTCTGCTGCCCTCACCTCTGCTATTGCTCTTGCTGCTAGTGCTCGAGTAGCAGCAGCTCTTATTGCTGCTGCCTTCTCTGCCGCTCCCATATCATCTTCTGGTGGTGCGGCCGCAGCAATTGCCGCTTTTAATGCTTCCAGTCTGCTGTTGGTGGCTGTTGCTGAGGGCTTTGCTTTGAAAACCTGTAGGGCTGCAAGTGCTGGCAGTTTTGTTGCTGCAGCCGCCAGCAGTCGCGTCGCACTAGAGACTGCAGCAGCACCGTCCGCAGCTGGCTCCGCCACAGGCAGCAGCTCAGCAGCAGAAAGAGATGCTGAGGGGGCGCCTGCCTTTGTCTGGAGCGGCGGTGAGGGCTCTGTGTAGACCACGTTCAAGAAGATGTTTGCGCAAAGAGCCAACGTCAGAGATACCACGAGGACGGCCGGCCCTGAAAGAATGTGACAGAACTTCGCAGAAAAAAGGTATATAAACCTTCAACCCCAAACAAATTTCGAGCGCTTAAAGCTGCTGGGGGACCTGAAATGACGAAGTGCAGCAGGAACGGCAGTAGCAAAAAATCCCTCCACTGTTGCGTTTGCCCAATTTCACATTGTTGCATTTGATGTACTGCTTCGGTGCTGCACGCGACACAAATGCTGCATCACAACCTACCAAAATGATCGTTGTAGTCGATGGGTTCCTTTCTCTCTAAAGCACGAGACCTCCGCAAGTATATCTGAACAAACAGCCCAAGCTCCAAACCCTAAGCCGTTACGAACAACCCAAGCCTAAACCCTAAACCTTTAGTTCCAAGCGGCCTGTCTTCCTCATTTTACTGACAAAGTCTTTCTAGCAGTTGCTGCTAGAAGGTGTTGCGGAGTGTTTTAAAGTGCTCCTGCTGCGTCCGTCACTGCTGCTGCTGCTGCTCCTGCCTACCCAAAATGAGTAGCCGATGAAGAATATTGCGACGGGAGATAGAAGGAGCCCTGCTGCCTTTGCTGCTGTCTGTCCAAAGGAAAGCAGAGTTATTGCCACCGAAGCCAGCAGCACTGCGATGTTCAGCCACTGCAACAGAGTCCTTTCATTGGCAAAGAACGTCTTCGGCTCCACGCGAACAGTGGCCCCTGCTGTTGTTGCAGCCCCGCCTCCCGCAGCACTTGAAGAACCCCGGAAGGCTCTTCCCCCGAGCAGGCGAGCTGGCAGACACCGCGACATTCGGGCGCAGCAGCGCCGCAGAGCCGGGAGGCAGCTGCCACTGCCAGTGCAGCACGAAAGCCAGGGCGAGCTCCGGCGTTGCTGCTGCCGCCTGTTGGCGCTGCTGCTGCTGCTGCTGCCGCCGCCGCCACTCAGCAGAGGCTCACGGAGGCCCCTAACACCAATATTTCCACCCCCATACACGGGAGGCCCTGTGGACGTGGTTTCCAGAGACTGTCTTAGTTCCTGAGAACAAACATAAGTCGCATACAATAGCTGCAAGTTAAATATTAAAGCTCTTTACGAACGGTCAATGCAAAGGCTAGCTGTCTCATGACCAACAGCAACGGAAAATACAACTACCTGTACCGAAGCAAAAATTCGTTTTGAAAAGGTCAAAGCGCAGGCAAGGCGAAGCTGCTCACCTGCACTGATGCCTCCTGGTCGTGGGCAATAGAGGCTCCCGGGCCCCTGTAGATAACATCCAGTTTAGACGCCCTCGATGTCGGGCAGTTTGCTGCAGCAGGGGGAGACTCGCGCTTCTGCTGCTGCTCTTGCCCTTGCTGCTGCGGGGGAGTTGTGCGTGGCTGGTGCCGCTGAACCTCCTCAGAAGGCGAGGGGGGCGCCGCCGCTGCCAGGTTGGTGGCCTGCTGGAACTCCTGTGCGTCTTCTTCTGCC